TTTTTTCAGTTTCAATATTGGATGCATACGCAAATCACCCAGAAAAAGATCATATAATAAAAGAAATTAAAACAAAGAGAAAAATGGAAGAAGAAATGGCTGATAGAGCAGCTTGATCTTGGTGGATACCTATTCAATTCTAATAGAAAAGATTGTTGTTATGCTATTTTGGAATCTAAAATTTAGTTTAGTATAGTAAAACTGTACACATACATCTATGAGCACAGACAGAATCTTAGTTAGATATGACTGTCTCATCTGTGGCAAAGCAAACGAACACATGAAATCAAAGCCCAGCTTAGGCATGGGCCTGAGGGGCCCAGGGCCCTGCGGTTTAGGGGGCCCCGCGGTTCGTGGCATAAAGAGAAAAAAATTCAAATTCCAGAGGAAAGTTTCACGGAAATCGATCTAAAGGCGCGAGGGCGGAGACAGAGCTATCCCTCAACCTTCTCTGTGAAGTTCCACAAACTTTTATGCCATTCGGAACTGAATAGATTTCGTATATGATCATATATTATGTAATTATTCTTGTATTACAGACCGTTTAATTGTGTGTTACGCATGTGTGTCATTCAAAAGGATATGAAATAATCTTTTAGTCACGTTAGGGGCCCCGCAATTTTAGTCAGGCCCAGGGCCCTCTCCGATTAAGCTGGGCTTTGCATGAAATAAAACAAATGTAATTAAATTAACATTTCTTAACTAAATCAAAACTGTCTAGTAAATTTAAGCCAAATAATACATAGCATATATCTTTTTTCAGTTACCCACCTCGGAAGATCAAGACTGTTGGAAATGGCTATTGATATTGTGGACGCGTTTTCTAACAGAGCTTGCTAATCAGACAAAGGCTATGTAAGTACCATGCATAATTGTTTTTTGAATCAGGAACTGGTTCTATACACTTGGTAATCTAGTTCTTCTTTTTGGGGCAATGTCTAGGGCTCTGCCATTTCATATACGTTCAACATGAAACTCAGGAGGCTTGTTTGGTTGATTTTCTTAGAGTTTTGATATATTACGTCAGAACTATAAGATGGATGCAATGTTACACCCTTTCATAACAAATATTATAAAGCGTTCAAATGCATGAGTTTGTAAAATAAAAATAATTCATATTATAATACTGTTTGCAATACTGTATTCACAATTGCCTTAGTGGAGCTAATTGATAAATCAAATGATTATTTTTTCATTGTTATTATCATTATCTTCTGACCCATTGAGGCATAATAATCTGCCTGGGTCTGTAATTGGAAAAGGCACAATAAGTATTATTGCAAAGTTGAAACAATAGAGAATCAACATGTGATAAAATAAGTTGTTTATTTAAATATTCTGAACCATAGAAAGTATATATTTATTGCCTACTACAATGTATAATATATTTTTTTTTCAGACTAAAGAGCATTTGATGTATGATAACAACAAGGGAACTCAACTATATACTTTTTGAATATTAAGCCATCAAATTATTTTATAATTTTGTAAAAGAATGTAGTGATTGTAAATGCTAATAAGTTATCTGTTGCATTTAAATATTTTATTTTTGTTTTTAATGTTAAATATCCTTCCCAAACACAATTATATATTAATTCTCTCCAGAAATTTATGTAAAATATTGACTGTAAAGTGACCTATAAATCACTTAGAATTTGGTCGGAAATCATAAAGAATTAAATAGGTATTATCTTGAAACCAAATGCAGATCGAATATACAAAGAATTACAAAAAACCCTTTAGGTACATTAAGGTGACTTTCCCTTGCTTATGAAATGAAATGGGATTTGACATCCTACTTTTCTATGTTATGAGGGTATTTCTGCCCTGGTAGTTAAGGTGACTTTCATTTGCTTATAAAATGAAATAGGATTTAACATCCTACCTTTCTGGAGGGGGGGGGGGTGTTTTTAATGATAAATAGGGCCACCTTTCCAACCTCGTGGGTTTTCTCTCCGGGCCCCTCGGTTTCCTTCCAGGTTGTGTCGAGTGGACGTTAAACCCAATCTCTCTCTCTCTTGTTCATATAACTTTATAATTTTTTTGTTTATTTTCTTTATTTTTTTTTTTATTTTTTTTTGAGGGGGGGGGGGTATTTTTTCATTATATATCACAATTATATTAGTATTGGATTTACTATGTTTTTATTACCCATCAAAATGTCTGTTTATTTTTGATTTGGTATTAATTTAATTGTTCATATAATTTTATGAATAAATAATCATTTTATGAATAAATAATAATTTAACAAACAAAATTATTGTCATGTCAGTTATCAAACATTACAGTTAATACAGAACAAAAGGAGGGTCTGCATGGTAAAGGCTGCTATACTGGATATAAATTGGTTAAATAGAACACAAGTTTTGTTGGTGGTTATACACAAGTTTGTATGAAACAACACAAGTTTCATAAATTTTAACACAAGTTTCAGAAATTTCAACACAAGTTTCAGAAATTTCAACACAAGTTTTACAAATTCCAACACAAGTTTCAGAAATTTCAACACAATTTTTTTTCAGTGTGTATAGACTGGAATAACCAGACGCCAAAAACTGCCATTCAATTTGCACGTCTTAGCATATTCCCCGGAACATAATTGATTAGAAATTACAGTTTATATATATTCATATTACGTTCTTATATATGTGTTGTGACCCATTTGTGTCCATTTCTAGGTGCCAAGGAATAGAGGTGTAGCCTCTTTACCTTCATCTCTGTCTCTTCGTTGTAACGTCGTGGACAAGGCATGACTCCGCGGGGCCAGATATATTCGATTCAGAAGACGATGGCGTTGAATTACCAAGTCAAATAATCCCTGTGAGTTTTAACCAGGACGGTCTCCCGTCACCAATCACCTCTGAACGAAAATCGAATAGAAAGAATCACAAGTATATGGGCCCTTTTGGTGGTAGGGAAATTGGGTTGCCGGGTGCGCTTTCAGTGCGTTTTGTGGGATTCCTTTAATATTTATACATAGCCCAATGCTTTCCGGAAATATTGTCATGTTAAACTTTGAGACACCTGATAGAAATTTAATACACTGTTTAATATAGTAAAATTATTGACCAATTCAGTGAAACTCTAGGTTTAGATTTATTTTCTGGTTTTTTTCTATCAATACGACGTACTAGGATTATGTATTCACCAAACGTATTCTGATAAATGGATGCATTATAAAAATGTGTTGGGACATGAAGTATGTTATAGGGGAATTGTATTTGCTCAGCAATCCTCTCCAAATGCTTGTTGTTGTTTAAATTTCAATCTAAACCATCCTCGTAAAATAATTGGTTAACTTTTTTTTATATAAGTAGTAGCGAAGAAATCTTAGGAAATTTTAAAAAATGGGTTGTGTGGAATGCAGGTGAACAGGAAACCGAAAGCGCCATTATCAGACAAAGATGACGTCACTATCAGAGAATCCACGAAAATAGAAACTATGAAATGGTTTAGGGTTAATACTGATGTTATTCACGGCCTTTATGTTCGGCGTTTATATTTAAAGATATTATTTGTAGAGTATATAAACGTACTCTACTGTTAAACTATTGGTTTTAATTTTAAATCTTGAAAGTGTTCTAACTCAGGGAGTTTGCAATAAACAGTAATAATTAGCATTGTGAGAGATACAAATTGATCAATTTTGAAGGAAAAAATATAAGAAAGTCAATTTTTGAAAAATATTCCAATATTTTTAATATTTTTGATGGGACTTGTTTGAAAATCTTTATATCTTTTTACAAAATTAACAAAGAATCTTAGAGTCTAGAACAAAAGGGCCCATGGATCCGAGCTTCAACCATGTTTACAAAAGAGCAATTAACTTTAAAGTTACAATTTCATATTTTTAAGTTATATTTTTAAAATTTATTAAAATAAAGCCTTAAAATAGACGGTATCTATAAACAGTCCTACCTTGTTAAAGAATAATCCTATTAATCCTATAATTCACTATTGCCAGTTGAGAAATTGGCAAAAATATTATTTTCAACTTCAAATTCAAACGTTTGAAGATAGCTATTCCATGGGGTGGGAGGGGTAGGAAAACAAGGGAGGTAATTGTGTTATTATTTCCTGTATCAATGATTTTTAAGTGTGGGAAATAATGTCTATGATCGTATAATAGTGAGTTGATAACGTATTGAGCAAAAGACACAGAAATAATTATGTTTTGACTTTCTTAGAAAATATGAAATTCTCGCTTTAAAGGGTCACTGTTCTGCTGTTATTATTTTATTTTGTTTTTGTATTATAAAAATGTTGCTAGAATAAAGGTATGAGGAAAAGAAGTGTGCTGATACATGAACTTATAAAACCATATAAGACGTATAGGAGGCAGACCACCATTACATTTCACCATCTCGGTACAAATTGTAGTTCGTCTATTCATCTCTCTCCCCCCCCCCTCCCTCTCCCTTCCTTTCTCTCTCCCTCCCCCCTTTGCATGGTCATTTTTGCTGATTTGTTGGTCTAGAATGGAAGAGGAAAGAGCTTTTGAATTATCATTAGTAAATATTCATAATTTAGCGGTGGAAGGGGTAACAACATAGTCAAGGGGTTGGTTACGGGGATATGCACGGCAGATAGGAGCGTGCTACTTAATGTTTTTGTATATCTCAAAATTTCACTGGTCAAACCCATTCAAATTCTAGACCAAAGCCATGACCAGTTATTGCTCAGTCTGTAGGGAAAAGCGTTCAGCCCAGCGAAAGTTTTGGAAAAAGCTGGAATGGTGGTCTGCCTCCTATATGGATACACCTTGTTTTATTCTGGTTGATGATAATATTTAAACGAGTCTTCAAGGGATGGTGTTTTTCAGCAGTCCCTTAACACCAGTCTCGTTAGCAATGTAAAGATGTGCGAATAAGTGCCAAGTCAAAGGTGGCTCGTCTTATTCTACTTCCTATCGTATTCCATTGATTTTCACCTGCAGCACAAATTGGTTCCATCCCAGTTGTAAAATAATTACAACACTTTATAGAATTATATGAGCTTTATATGATTCCAATAATACAAAACAATATATAAAAGCAGATAAGTGTAACTATGTAATATCATTGTAAGCTATATACACAAGCTAAACTATTGGGACAGTAAATTAAATCTTAAATAATATATCGCAAGTTGGCCTATTCAAAATCAGGAAAATATGTCATTTTGTGACGTCATGTGACAGCTCGCAGGAAGTGGATAATTGATCATACCGCCACATATTGGCATGTATTGGCGCACTGATGATGGTAAGCAACTGTAGCCTATTTGTGTTATCTCTCTTTATTTACAACAAGGCATGCTAGTTGGCGATATGATATCAGATAAAATATTAACAAAAGGAGGCAACGTAACGGATTGAATGTATAATATTAGTCTCGAACACCTAGAACCTCAACGTACGGAGGATCTGGGTCAGTTGTACATATTTGACAAAATTGTACTCAATAATCATAAACATAAAGAATCCCGATTCCGCATGGACAATGGAACATTTTAGTTAAAGCCAAGAAAGAGTGACAGATACTAATATTATATATAATAAAATACACAGGAGGACAAGTAATTGTTGAAGATATTATATCAGAAAGGAATGGGAAATATCTCCCTTTAATTACACTGTGGCATGATGGCTGCTGATAACGGGGGCACTAAAATGAAAACAAAGAAATTCTACATTAATGCATATCGATACATAATCTTATAGTCAAAAATATATATTAGGTTACCAGAATATGTCGAACCAAATAACTTGTGGGAGGGTTGGCAGTGCATAGAACTCACCAATCACACTGAGATTTTAAAATGATAAAATAGTATTGTTGATTACTTGATCATAACTCAATTTGGATCTGTACTTCTCGCGTGAAGATCAATAAGAATATATTGCTTTGGATGTGGTTATGCTAAATTATTATGAGATACTTCAACAAAAAGAGACATGGGGGTTTAGCGTCCACTCGATACAAACTAGGTAATTTCGGGACATGTTTTAATTTTATTTCAGTAAATCGCTTGTGCATATGGGTCTTTAGTAGTGGGAAGAAACCGGAGGACCCAGGAAAACCAAAGAGGTTGGATAGCCGATCCTACTCCTTGTCACATTCAAGCGGGGAATCGGAATCAAGCCACTTGATTCAATGACTGACATACCACTTGACCACCCAACTACTCGTTACTTTACAATGCACGTGTAAGACTATACGATATACGATATTGCTTTGACAGTAGTCATCCTAAATCATTACGAGACGCTTCAGCATAAGCTAGGTTAACGGCCTCAACGTTTCCGTCACTATATAGTACATTTGAAAGGCGGTAAACGTATTAGTATTACCGGGCAACGCACATGTTGAAATAACAACAGTGGGATAGTGGTTGACGATGTTAAATAATTGAGTGGGTTTATAATATAGTTTTGGTCTATAAATTCTTTGTGGGTTAATCATACAATTATACTGGAAAAAATAACACAGTGATATCTTTCACAACGTTCTGAATTTGCGTTTCGTTTCATACAATAAGGATAGGAGATTTTGGTCATCTAAAAATGGCAGTTTTTTCTTGTAGGTCATTCGGATTTTATTTATACAAGCTTTAGGTTTAGATCATTTAACCTTTCAATACTGTATCTATGTTTGATGAGAGCATGATAATTCATCGAAATCTATGGTTTATTACCATTTAAGACGATCGCACTTTCTAGAATTGTCATTTGAAAACTTCTAGAAACCATGGAAACTTCTGGAAACAGTGTTTAGAAATAATTGGTGAGTAATCGTGTACATTGTTATACTTGTACTTATTTGTCCCAATATCATTTTATTATTTATAGCTGTTATGCTTCTAATTATACTCATTTGTTCCAATATCTTTTTTATATATACTATTCAAAAAAAGTAGGGGATATTTGATTTTGGGGGCATAATACTAAAATATGCAAATGACTACGAAAAAAGTCACTATAGAACCTAACAGAAGAAACATTTCCAGTTACATGTGACGCCCAAACGCACCAATAGCTACCGCATGGAATGCAGGTGATGCTTGGGATCATCATGGGGGTCCAACCCAAGATTTGCACGACTCTGACTTTGAATGTTACAGTCATTGTGGCATTGAATTCCAGGGTGGAAACATCAGTTTAATTGTTTTAGTGACCAGAAAACAAATTTTGATATGCGTCGGCTTACCCAAAATGAAAGGTTACGTGCCCTTGGCATGCTACAGATCGGCACAAAACAGGCGGTTGTGGCGCGGACGATGAATGTTTCTCAGTCTGTCATAAGCAGGCTATGGTCCAGATACCGTGATACACAATATGTACAGGACAGACCACGCTCAGGTCGACCAAGGGCGACAACTCAAGCCCAGGATCGATTTATCCGTACCTTGGCCTTGAGAAATCGTGTCATCACAGCAAATCCGATCAGCGCTCGTCTTCAAACAGACACTGGTGTGAGAGTGAGTGGCCAGACGATTCGGAATCGACTGCATAGGGGTCACCTTCGCGCCCGACGTCCTCGCGTGATCCCTTGTTTGAGAGATCATCACATTCAGGCAAGACGTCGTTGGTGTAGGGATCGTCAACACTGGGATAATCGACGCTGGAGCAATGTGATGTTTTCAGATGAGTCAAGGTTCACTGTTGATTTTTTGGACAGACGTAGGAGGGTGTGGCGTCGTCGAAACGAGCGCTTTCAAGACGTTAACGTCATCAGACATGATCGATTTGGGGGTGGTTCTGTTATGGTGTGGGGAGGCATCACTGTTGCTGGAAGAACGGCTTTACATGTTGTTGCAGGGCGTGTTACAGGCCAGTACTACCGGGACAACATCTTGGCAGTCCATGTTGTGCCGTTCGCACGACGTCATGGCCGCCGTTTCATCTTCCAGGATGACAACGCAAGATGTCACAGGGCCAGGATCGTTACAGGTTACCTCCAACAACAGAACATCACCACTTTACCTTGGCCAGCACTGAGTCCCGACCTCTCCCCCATCGAGCATGTCTGGGACATGCTTGGACAGAGGTTACGTCAACGTCAACAACGTCCTGCCAATGTCCAAGAACTTGCTGCTGCGTTGCAACAGGAATGGGACAATCTGGACCAAAATGACCTTAGACGTCTCATTAGGAGTATGCCACGTCGGATCAATGCTTGTTTGGCAAACAGAGGAGGATTTACCCGTTACTGACTTGGTTGTGATGCTGTGGTAACTTTGCTGTTTGACCCCGGGTATCATTTTACCCTTATAATGGTCAGTCTGTGCCTTACTAAGTCTAACGATCATTTGGAATAAATCGATGAATGTGAACTTCATTTCATTTTGTCATTTGTTTCTTCGTCAGTTTCATTAGGTGACTTTAATAACACTTAAAAATCAAATATCCCCTACTTTTTTTGAATAGTATATATTATTAAGTGTGTTGTCTGATCTATGTATTGTGTGGATTGTGAATCAGTAAACTGCAATCGGTACACGGAGATTGAAACACTGTGGAAGTCGAGAAGTACGCGTTCGACCCACCTTTGCCTTAGCGTTACCTAGTTGCGACAGATTGGCCTAACTAGCTGCGTCTTGCTTTGGTCTTTCGGCAGCTATAGGGCTGTGCATGACAGAATGATATAGACCGGAAGGCGTAGTTAAATGACTTCATTCCTTCTTGACTTTGCGGCTTTTTACCTTCGCCCTACGATGAAGCCAAGAAGCATGCCGCGAAAAATGGTCCAAATCTCGCGCCGTTGAGGCTTCGTTTGACCATGAGTTAACAGGGCGAAGGCAAGTACACATATATTGAACAATACGAATACGTGACGCGACTTCGTGGCTACGCACTGATTATGACTTGCCTCCGCGCTGTTGAGTCAGTGAAGTGAAGCCTCGACGGACTGAGATAAGGGCCATTTGAGGCGGCTTCTTGACAAGGACAGCTGTCTAGTCGTTCGGATGGGACGAAAAACCGAGGTCCCGTGTACACATTGGCGTGCACGTAAAAGATCCCTTGGCAGTTGGAATTCGATATAAGAGTAGGCCGTAGCGCCACTTCCCGGGCAAAATTTCCGTCATAGCACACTGTATGGCGTATGCCCGTCTTCATTAGCCCAGGTTAGGAGCAGAACAGTAGGACGTTAAACCCCATTTCATTTCATTTCATTTCATTTCATTTCGTCTTCTCCACTTGTTAAGGTAAAGGCAAGAGGATGCGCCGGGTTTTATCGGCTTCCATGGGTGGGTGGGTGGGTGTTGGGGGGGGGGGGGCTTTTAAAGCATCATATACTCACTTGTTGGCAAGTCGAGATCTACTTTTATTCTCGATATTGGTATGCAACCACCACAGTATCCATCCCCTCTAGCTTCAAATCTATACGTTGACTGTTCTATTATATCACAATCTTCGAAATAAGTTGCCAAAGAACTGTTCTTCCAGGTAGTCTTTAATATATAACATGACATATATCATCGTATTGTACAGTTCTTACTATTACGATTGTCATCTAACATAAATCTATACTAAAAAATATCCTGGACGATAACACATGGTAAATGTGGAGAAAGTACACCCTATGTAACACTATCAGTGTATAACAGAATATCAGTTTGGTAAATATGAAAGTCATTCCCACCAGGAACAAGAATATAAAACAAGAATAGGAAATCTGGAACATGACGTAACAATTACATGGGTTCATAAACGGTTGTGACAAAGAAGTGATCTTTATACTTTTCATCAAATTGAACGATCATTTAGGTGCATAGAACTTCGTGAACTCTGCTAGATTTGATAGTATATGATATTGACGTATCACCTCTGTACTCCCTACAATCTTATTAAACATCTAATTAATTCAATATGTCCTTTACACGCTACACATGATATGTGTGTAACACTAGGCAGAACTTCAAAGAGCATGTAGTAGTGGTCAGTGTATCATACAATGATCTGACAATGACATACCAGGAAATATGCAGTAAGGCAGACTTGGAATAGACCTACTGAATTATGTCTATTTCATCTTTTTAATAAAGGTCTTATTAATTACGCTGATCTTCTGTTATATAGAGAATCTCCTACCAGTCTTTTTTGATATCAAAAAATATCAACACAAGTTGATAAAGTAACAAAAAACGAGGCTCTGCCGAGTTTTTTTTACTTTATCAACGAGTGTTGATATTTTTTGATATAAAAAAAAACGAGTAGGAGATTTTATTTATCACCCAATTCCTTCTTACATGCACAAATAGATAAATATAATTCTTTGCTGTAGATTTCACTTTTACTGAACATTAGAAGTGAACTGTTCTTTGAAAATAAAAAAAAGTAGTTCCTTTTCAACTGACCAATCAAATTCATGTAAAACGATATCTCCTAATATATCACACAAGCGATATCTACTGTAGAATGTATTATTGGGTGATAAATGTAGTGTCACACGGTGCATACTAAAGGAAAAATCAACCTTAGGTCCACTCGTTTAAAGCAACTACCAAAACAGCGACTCAAGCTGGGAATATTAAACAACACGACAAAAGAGAGAGAGAGATAGGGAAAAATGTGGTTTAACGTTCACTTGACACAAACTAGGTCAATTCGGGACAAACATATGGTTTAATTTTATTTCAATCAATACAGTAGGGGGAAACCGGGGTACCCTGAGAAAACCCACGAGATTAGACAGGCGAGCCTACTCCTTGTCACGTACAACCGGTGAATCGAAACCACACCAATTGACTCACTCAATGATAGATTTCATTATGCAACGCGCACCGGTTTTTCCGGTTTCCTCCCATTGCTAAAGACTCCTACGCACAAGCGAATTATTTAAATAAAATTGAACCATATGTCAGTCCCGAAATGAACTAGCTCTCTCTCTCTCTCTCTCTCTAAATTATAGGAACTAATGGTTCCTAAAATGAGTGCATTGGCCGAAAAAGTTCATCCAGATTTTCCGACGTGGATTCTGCTTGTCAGTGGTGCAGAACGGAGGGCCGGACAAGGACAGCTGTCTAGTTCTTCGGATGAGACGAAAAACCGAGGTCCTGTGTATATATTGGAATGCACGTAAAAGATCCCTTGGCAGTTGGGATTCGATATAAGAGTAGGCGATAGTGCCGCTACCCGGGCAAAATTTCCCTCATAGCACACTGTGTGGCGTATGCCCGTCTTCATTAGCCCAGTGTAGGAGCAATATAGGCCAAGATGGCCGACAGAAGTTAGACGTGTACCTGGTCATAGCAAGTTATTATAAATCATGAGTGATATACTTTAAATTATGGTGTGAAATTAGATTAACTTTATGTAGAGCCGATTTTAAAATATTTGATGTTTATAAGTGTAGATATTTTCCTCGGTTGACATATACTCAGTTGTGTGAGATTGTTGTGAGTAGATTTTATAACAGCCAGATTCGTTCAACCATACACTAAAACACCAAACATGCCTAAAGTGAAAGAACCGGTTGTATCCAAACTTAGAGATCGGTCTGTATCCATAAAACGTAAACGCGGAAATCATGAGTCGAGTGCCAGTTCCCATAGCATTTCTGAGTTTTTAGATGATGTTCTTTCGAATGAATCATCCTTAAAGTCGTTCGTTGGAGAATTATTCAAACGAGATCTGATCATGGACCACATTATAAAAATAATTCATCCAACATTAACAGACCCTCTACGCAATCGTATAGATGATTTAGAGAACCGAGTCGATGACTTAGAACAGTATTCTAGGCGAACATGCCTAAAATTTAGTGGCATCCCCGAAACACCTGAAGAAAACACTGATAATATAGTTTTAAATATTATTAACAATGACATACTTCCTGAAAAACAGGCCAAACTCACACTAGGTCAAATTGGCCGAACTCACCGGGTTGGAGCCAAACGCAGAGAAAAGGGCCGTGATATAATAGTACGTTTCAATAGTTATAGAGACAGGGCAAGGATATATGGTTCTAAACGCAACTTAAAACAGAGAAACCTCACCCAAATTCACAAGATATTTATCAATGAAGCCCTCACTCGTAAACGCGCTGCACCTTACAAAAGATGTCGTGATATGTTTAAATCAAAGCTAATTAAAAACTGTTGGACGTATGATGGTCGAGTTGACATACGACCTCTAGCAGACGACAGAAATATTGTCATAACCTGTGAGCAGGACTTCAATAACTTTCATACATCAACAAACAGAGTAAATTCACAAGCTAATAAGTCTCTGTTTAATTACAACGAAGCTACTTTATCACATTCTGCAATCAACACATCTTTTAGGCCATTAAAACAACAATCCTTACGAGATTTTGGCGGATTTGCCTCGACCCCACAGCCTGATAAAAAGAAATAATGATGCCTGACAGTATCTTTATATTTTTGAACCAATTTCATTCATCAATATCATTCCCAGACTACTGTACCTTATTGTGTACTGGTTTTTCCTTATTTTTCTTAATGTCTACAAATGCATGAATATATATACGTATTTAATTATATTTAAACATCCATTACAAAAGCTGAATCTGCGTATTGCAGGTCTTTTTAAGGCCTGAAATTTTATCTAAATTATTAATTAAGACATTAATTAAAACTTATCCAGACCATAATCAACTCTCGATGTCATCACTAGCCTGCGATATTTACTGGATTAGGATCCGATTTGCTGCTCAGCTTTCATTCATGATTTAATCGAATTCCATTTACATTATCTAGTTTTAAACTATTATAGTGAGAGATGCCAGCTCTTTATCTAATCGCCCATAATGTATCTCTAAGTTGATGACCAACTGGATAGTACCTCAAATCGTTTCATGCATTCGCCATTGCCCCAATTTTCCTTCATGCAATAATAAGTTTGCTTAGATTTTTAAAACAATGACAAAATCTTTCTGTAAAGTAAAGTCATGTACATGTATTTTACTTGTTGGTTCCCTATTGTCTAACTTTTACAGAGTAGTATTAGATTAGACCACTGTTTAGTTTATAATACATAGTTACATGTAGTTATACATTTATATTATTATATAACTAATTATGATATAAAAAGAATCGAATGTATAAAACTATGCCCACATTATTTATGCATTTAAAATGGGCGTATCTTTTAAAGTTCTCAATTATCTACTTAAAAGTTCCATTAAAATATTAACTAATTGGGTTATCATCTCAGTTTAAACTTTTGATTTCGTTATTTATTCCATTTAACTTACTGAAATGTAAACAGCCAATTATCTAAATAATTGTCAACTATGGGAACTCAGTCCTTGCATCAAAATTGCATATCGGATTGTTAAACTGACCACCCTCTAAGTATTATCACTTTAACTTTCATCTTCATTTTTTCTCAAAATTGCCTGCTTTAGATATCATCGTACGATATTGTTATATTAACTTAACTATGACCGAAACATTCAATGTTTATGTATTATACTATTGCTTTAACTGTAAATAATTCACTGTTTTTTTCTGTATATATGTTTTATTTGTTTACTATTTATTTACATCATGTTCTCATGTCTCTATATCCACCAAAACTAACCACTAAATATTTAAGATCTAACTGTTTGATGATTTCTCAGTCCCCTCGTGCAATACTGGCGCTAGTGCAACATCGCTACTGTAAAAGTTGACATTTACTACACAGTAAAGCACGAGGCATCTGAGAAATGGCAATAGTTTTATGTGAACTTGATAATTTATGTCTGCTAAGTACTGTTTTAGCCTTATTAGTTCTAAGATCAGGAGACGTTCATAAAAATCCTGGACCTTCAAATCACGATTCAAATGAAAACCTATCAGTCTATCACTTAAATGCACATAGTATAAGACACAAACTTGAAACAGTATACAACGATGTCAATGATTACCATATTTGTAGTTTCACTGAGACTCATCTGGATAACTATGTGTTAGATTCATCTCTAAAATGGGACGGTTACCATTCTCCATACCGGAAGGATCGGACGTCGCATAGTGGCGGATTATTATTATATGTTAATAAAACCATTTATTGCAAACGGCGGGATGATCTTGAGGTTACAGGTATAGAGAGTATTTGGGTGGAATGCAAATTTCCAAACACCGTATTACTTGTTGCCTTATTTTACCGCCCGCCAAACAGCACAATTGAATTCTGGTCATTGTTCGAAAGATCCATTGAACTAGCCTATCAAACCACGCTTAAGGTTGTAATTTTAGGTGATCTAAATGATGACTTGCTAGCACCACGCTGCAAGCTACGGGATGTTTTATCTTTAAATAATCTCAGAAATGTTATTGATGAACCTACACGCGTTATTCTGACGTCATCAACCTTATTAGATGTAATTTTAGTAAATGACGAAATTCAGATTAGTTCCAGTGAAACGATTAATGTCACTCCTGACATATCCGATCATAAGGGTGTTTATGCATTATTAGATTTTCCAGTTTCAAGTGCCAGGAATTTTAAACGGGAGATATTTGTATATACGGATGGTAATTATAATAGGTTAAATACTCTTATCAAAGAACACGATTGGGAGAGTACCTTTGCAAATTCTGATATTAACTTAGTATGTTCAAAATTTTATGAAATTCTAAATAGCTATATTACATTGTGCATACCAAAGAAATCAATAACTATAAGACTAACTGACAAACCGTGGTTCAATACAGAAATACGTAGAGCGATAAGAATCAGAAAGAGGTTACACAAAAAAGCTTTGAAAACACAACATGAATGCGATTTAAGAAAATACAAAGTTCAAAGAAATAAAGTAAATAATTTTAAAAAAGCGTTAAAAACAAAATACAAAGAAGAAATCACAAATTTCTTGAATTCTAACGATACAAATAGCCAGAATTACTGGAATAATTTAAGGAAAGTATTAGGCCAAAATGTATCAAATGATATTCCTCCACTTTTAGACCCCAATGGAAGAATTGCTCATTCAAATTTTGATAAAGCTGAATTACTTAACAACTATTTCGGATCAATTTCAAATAACACTCAGCAAGGAGAATTACCAAAATTCAATAAGCGAACAAATTGTCTACTTGATATTCCTTTAGTCGAAGAAAAGGAAATCGCAGATCTTATAAGTACACTGAAATTAAAAAAAGCCAATGGATTTGATAATATTAGTAACAAGTTACTAAAATATACCAAAACCTCAATATGTGTACCATTAAAATATATCTTTAATAAATCACTAGAATCAGGCGTTTTTCCAACAATTTGGAAAAAAGCAAATGTCCTACCTTTCTATAAAAAAGGAGACAGCTCTCTAGTTTCAAACTACCGACCTATAAGCCTATTAAGTACTTTGAGTAAATTATTAGAAAAGGTAGTTTTCAAACACCTGTTTAACTACTTTCATGAAAACAATCTCTTGTACAAATACCAATCAGGGTTTCGACCGAACTACTCTACTGTTCATCAACTTTTAGAAGTGTATCATGATATCTCATCTGCAATAGATAAGCAACTATATTCCTGCTATGTTTTTTGCGATATATCTAAAGCGTTTGACCGCGTATATTTACCTGGTTTGATACACAAATTAAGTCAATATGGGGTTTCAGGCATGCTAATTCCGTGGTTGTCTAGTTATGTCCAAGACCGGGCTCAACGAGTATTCGTAAATGGCTCTGTGTCATAAGAAATTACTCTTCAATCAGGAGTTCCCCAGGGATCAGTTTTGGGCCCCTTTTTGTTTTTGACTTACATCAACGATGTACAAGATGTACTCCATAATGTGGCTAGATTATTTGCAGACGACACGGCACTTGGGTGTAGCAAACAGTCAGTTTCAGAGATAGAACAGTCCCTAAACTACGATCTGACAAATCTCAACATTTGGGCGAATAATTGGCTTATAAACTTTAATCCAAACAAAACAAAAGCTATTTTATTTAGCTCCAAAAAAACAGAAAATTATCCGAGTCTGATATTCGATAATCAAGCACTTGAAGTGGTTAAATGTCACAAACACTTGGGCATTACCCTTTCAAATGACGCCAAATGGACCAACCATATAGAAACTATTATCTCGTCCACCTCAAAATTATTAAATATTTTGTGTAAACTAAAATTCACCTTTAATAGACAAACTCTAAATAACGTATATTTGATATTCATAAGGCCGAAATTGGAATACGCTTGTGAAGTGTGGGATGGGTGTAACGTTTCCAATACCGAAAAACTTGAAAAGGTACAGCTAGAAGCTGCCAGGATTGTCACTGGACTAACTAAAACTTGTTCTCGTGAAGCGCTTTATTTTGAAACCGGATGGAATAAATTGTCAGACAGACGTGCACAAAAGCGACTAACTACATTTTTTCAAATTAAAAATCAGAGAAACCCAGTATACTTATATGACATTCTAGAATATTATCAACAAACACCACAAAAATACAATTTAAGAAACATTAGCGAATATAGATATCCTTATTGTAGAACAACATTACACCAAACTTCGTACTTCCCCACAACAATTCGAGATTGGGAATTATTAGAGGACCCCATAAAGCAATCAACCAACATTAAATCCTTCAAATATCTATACAAACAAAAATTACATTCCTTAATACATAAAGCGCCAATCTACTACTGTAAAGGTAATAGACCTGAAAATATTATTCACACTAGAATACGGCATGGGTGTAGTTCGTTGCAAAATGATTTGTATGAAATAAACGTTGTGAATGATCCCACATGTTCTTGTGGCAAATTTATAGAAAATGCCGAACACTATTTCCTGCAATGACACTTATATGATGTAATTCGTGCCGAACTATTAAATACATTGTCAAATTATTCTGTGATAAATATAGATATCCTATTGTGCGGCAATTCAGAATTGTCAATTGAGATGAATACAAACCTTTTCCTTGAAGTTCACAAATATATCAAACTTTCAAAACGATTTAAATAAAAGTTATTGTTAGTAGTTACATCTTAGAATAAATTATTAGCTATAGCTTTTTTGGTGGATAACATTTATTATTGTATATACTATTTCGCAATCTTGTTTGTATTAAATTGTGTCTGTCATTTGTATGTATGTATGAAACTTGTGCTCAATCCTTTTGATATTTGTCAATAAAATATGTTTAAACCAACAGTAGGACGTTAAACCCCATTTCATTTCATTTCATTTCATTTGGTTTTACATGTTCACTAAATCTAGAAGATTGAAAATCATCATTAGATATGGAGTCTGAAATGAAATGAAATCGGGTTTAACGTCCTGCTGTTCTGCTCCGATTGAACTAATGAAGACGGGGATACGCCATAGAGTGTGCTGTGAAGGAAATTGTGGCCAGACAGTGGCTCTACGGCCTACTATTATATCGATTTCCAATTGACAATGGATCTTTTAGGTGCACGCCAATGTGTACACAGGGCATCGGTTTTCTGTCCTGCACCACTGACAAGGGGAAACCACATCGGAAGATCCCGAAGAACTTTCTTGGCCAACACAGGGATCGACCACGGAATCCTTACCTTAGGTTAGTGAGCCAACGTCTTACTCACTGAGCCACCGTGGCTACTAAATATGGAGTCTTATATACCACACGTTACCGTATAACTGACAAGCCTATTAAGGAAATCTTTATGTTATGATATGTTATGTTAAGAAATCTTTATGTTATGATATAATCTCGATTGTCAAGTACCATTCTTACGACAATAAACACAGTCTCGATTATCCAGTTTTACGCTAATTTATTAAATGGTGATGGTGTTTTAATCCATTCAATATCTCGGCCATCAGATGGTTTAGAGAGTTGATTAGAGACTTGTAAATATTAAAAAGTAGATACGAACCAAGGGACTTAATTTAAATCCCGTCTGTCTAAAGTCCACCAAAACATAGCCTCTTCTTGGACAAGTGACGTGATCATGAATTCCAGAACATGCTATAGCATCACCAAATCGTTTCACTTCTCCACTGATTTGTGTAGTATAGTAGTCGTTAGTACCAATAATTTCCCCTGTCTGGCGAAAAGAAAAATATAAATTATGAGGAACTGAACTAATTGAGTACACAGACAGTACGGATAATGCAGGTCGTGGGTGCAGAATGGAAGGCATGACAAGGAAATATGTCTAGGCATTCGAAATGCACTAAAATGGACTCTTGATAGTTGGAATTCTATGACGAATGGATGGAAATCCCGATGTATGTTCAACATGTTCTTCAGACGAGGACTGGCTAAAAAGTTCTAAGTCTGAAAAGGATTGATCAATTGGGTTGAAACAAAATATTGCCACCAATAAATAAAAGCATTGAATGAATCATAGACATAAGGACTGCAGTAAAGAAGGGGGCTGGAAGGCCATCAACAGCAACCATTCAAGAAAACATTACCCTGGTGCATGAGATGTTGATGTTGTTAATATTTTGTCTGTAAATAATTTACAGGTTGCAATTATTAACATATTTTGATCGAATTCCCTATGATCCATCATAGAGTTGTACTTATTTATATTGGTCCATGTCCAACTCCCAGGGGCTGAGCCACGCCAAATTTCTGCGGTTGCCTACAGGTTGGCATTCTGAATCTGAATGGATCATCTTGGAACTTGGCATATTTATTAATTATACAATAAGAATAGCAACTATTTATTTTGGTACATGTCCCGACCGCCAGGGGCGGTGTCACACCCACTTTATTTTAAAAAGTACCATATGAATCAAAGCAGGAATGTGGACGTATATTGCGGTGATAGCGATGCTCTCGTTTAGGACTTTACCGTACAGCAAAGTAGGATTTTAAATCCATATTATATGGATTCTAAATGTCATGCAAACTTAAAGTTCATATGATTAATAAGTCGCTTGCGCCTAGGGGCCTGAGAGCGCCTAGTCGTTTGGATTGGACAAACATCCGAGCTCCGTGGACACGTAACGTTGCTGTTCATGAGCTCAGTCGGCACAGAACAGTAAGACGTTAAATCTCATTTCAAATTTATAATAACATCAGATTTACTGATGCCGTGTACAAGGCAGGGTACATTTTTTCACATTTATAATAACCTAACAACTATTTACCGATAAATCTAGTCTCACTTTATGAAATTCCGTTTCTCCCGGATTCATTGGAGTTGATACTGTTTCGTTGACGTCGCAACCGGTCCCTACATATTTACCACTAGGAAACCTGACAACATTCAGGTGATGTAAAGTGATAAAATCCCTGGGAATAACCTTTGAAAAATCACCACAATATATCTTGACTCTGTTATAATTAAATATAGGAGGGTATAACCAATATTCACCACTAACATACGATGAATTACATCTCTTTATATCTAAACATGACGATACTGTAATATAAAACATATCCATGATATAATACCATTATATATCTTTACATAAAATCCATTATATTATTATATCTTCATGTGTTGATATAACTAAAATATAAAACATTATATATAAAACCGATATATATTCTTCAAAATAAAATAGGGGATATTGAAATGCAAATAGCAATGCAGGTTGTGATATGATAAATAGTCATGGATACTTATCGCTCCAACAGAACCACTGAGCTGCACATGCAACACGCAATAGCGCCATTCGCGTGGGAGGGGTTCATTGTCAAATTTGACACTTCAAGGAAGGGTTGATGAAAAGTGCCGCGTGCTGGTTTATCTATCCATGTTTGCTTTCCTATCGGTTCTTGCATACGATTTAATGTTTAGCGTATCTTTGCTTTTGTGTGTCACGTTTAATTTGATCAGGAGACGTATTCGTCGACGTCAACGTCAACCGACAAGACTGCAAGAATTGGCCGTGGCACTGCAAGAGGGGTGGGTCAGATTGCCCCAAATCGTGATTGGACGGTTGATTAGGAGCATGCCACGGCGTATTGCTGAATGTCTGGGGATTGGTGGAGCAATTACTCATTATTAAGCCCAATATATCAAAAACGTCCATTTTCACTTTTGACTGTGTATCTCTTTGCGAGTGAAATGGGGTCGTCAGATAAGCCGCTCATGTGAACTGTTTATGTTCATGTGTAGGCAATTGACCTGTTATTATCATTTACATAAAAACAGCAGTCCATTTCCGCAGTTTTGTATTGTTTCAGAATATCCCCTACTTTTTTTAAGAGTATATTCTCCACGTGATGATTTAATTATAATATAAAACCAATACATGTCTCCAAATGATGATATAACTAAAATATAAAACCATTATATATCTCCAAATAACTATAATATAAAACCATTATATAGCTGCATATGATGATATAATTATAGTGATATAACGATAATATTAAACATTTATAGTTCTCTATTTATATGTGTCCTTGAATATTGTAGGATATAATAACCAATATTTACCATTAACATACGATGTGTTATATATGTCAACATCTCCCAATGATGAAGTATCTATATATATATATAAAAAAAACAGAATATATTTAGGCATTTCCTTACAGTGATACAAATATAATATAGATGATACAAATATAACGATATGAAATCCAGTAGATATCTTCCCATGATGATATAAAAGCATCATTGACATCCATTTTTTGACAATATCGAGACACCCTTCCAGATTCTTGATGACGACATTTTGATCGATTTGACTTGGCTTGAAGTTGTCAAGGAGCTGCGAATCATCAGCATAAAAATGATACAGCAGAATGTGATCACGAATAAGTTTACCTAACGTCTTTGTATATATTGTCAAGATTATCGGGCCCAAAACAAATCCTTGGGGAACACCACATAACATTGTTGATGACTTGAGGAGGAGTTGGTTAACTTCAACATACTGAAATCGTCCAGTGAGATAGAATGACAACCATTTTAGAATGGATCCAGTTGGTCCATCATCTGATAACAGTCGATCCAGTTGGTTGCCATGGTCAACAGTATCGAAAGCTGCTGATAAATAAAGAAAGGACCAAAAATCCGATCTTTGATTTATCAACAGAGAATTTTATGGTACCCAGAACACATAGTAGGACTTGCTTAACAACCTTCTAAGAAATGTGGACAGAAAGGTCAGATTAAATACTATAATATAAACGGACTATATTTTCACATAACTATAATATAAAACACTATTATACATCTTCACATAATAGTAGGATATAACTAATATTTACCATTAACATAAGTTGAGTTAACATCTTGACACGGTATCATATCTAGAATTATAAAATAACATTATACATCTTCACAGGATCGGGTAAGCAAATAAATTATCTATAAATATCCAGATCTCGTGACTTGCAGGACATCCATAAGGTATCCTGTATTATAAGTCCTTTTTTACTGCTGAAAGTGCCTTAATTTTCTCAGACCCAAATATGTCCGTTCCCAACACGTTGCAGGGATCCCAAATGACTCAAACCATCGACTCAAACACACCAGCCTGGTCTAATTAATGCTTCCACTTTCAAACGAATTCTTGTTGTTTAGCTGCGGTGCCCTAATCCTATAGACTGACTTTAGACAGACATCAATGATAGCATCTTGTGGAATCGGCGGCGTATACACTCATGCCAATCACCGACGCGCATGAGTGCAACTAGATGTAGCATTGTTTCATGTGTGAACAGTACACAGTACAAGTTACAAGGCTTAAATAGTGAAGTGGCTAGATTCGTCTTTTTCCCCATCATAATGCTCGCTCGCCTTGACAATTTTCGAGTCGCATGTTCAACTGGCTTTTTTGCTCGATTTTAAGGCTCTTTTTCAATGATTTCCGAACGTTAACTTAGACGAAAATATCAGCCAAATAGCTCTTGGAATGGCTACAGATGCAAGGAAATGACGGATAATATTCTTTTTTTTTTGACAGAGAGGAGTGAGATCAAAGGTTGCGACTTGGACATTAGCTTAATACTATTTGTTACAAGACACGGTAGCTCAGTGAGTAAGACTATGGCTCGCTAGTCTGGGGGTTCGCTCCCTGTGTTGGTCGAGAAAGTTGACACTGTATAGCGTATGACGTATTCGTTAACCCATAGTTATAATTAGCTAATTATACCCTAATGCTGTCTTAATTTCTCTATATCAACCCGATGAACTAACCTTCAGTAATCCAATAGTCAAATCCATCCTCGTAAACCAGGTTTTGTGTAGAGTTGATGTTATATGATAAAGGTATACAGACCTCGGTATCATTATTATAGAAAAACGATGTCCCATCTGACTGTATTGTTATCATAACACATTCTAATTTACTGGTTGTATAATTTACCAGAGTTTGGTCAGGTAAAATATAGTTAGATATAAATATAATAAAATTAAAGTCTGCAATATTCATGTTATCTGCATCAGCTATTCTGTCATTTTAATCTGTAAGAATGGAAATAAGAACAAAATATATCATGCAAGCTTAAAACAAATTTTACTATTTGAAATCTTATAAGTTGCTAAACATAAAAAACATTTTATTATAGTTTTGACGAGATTTAAATTGTTCCTCTATACTTTTCTGTGATATATGTGCATTTATTGTTATATTATGTGATTTTCGTTGTAGGAATTGTGGAACTTTGTTCACATATAGTAAAATGGAGAAACTGGTGGGTGTCCGTACTGTTAGTCTCAATTAATCCATTCGGTTTTAACAGATATGTGATTTACTGAAATGTGGTTGGCTTAAAGTATATGGTGAATTTAATGCGTTCGTCTCAATCTGATTAAAATACAGATCTATATTCCGTTTCGTTTTTCTATACTTTCGATGGCCTATACTACATGAAGGTCTGACCAGTTGTGGTGGGAGGTCGCGTCAGGGTCATATGAGCGGCTTTTGACCCTATAACTTCAGACATTTGATTAACCAATCAGCGTTGATGTTTCTAATAGGATGCCCACAGTTCCGTGCACCCCACGCCAAGAACTCGCTGCAACAGACAGTTCCACTGGCTTATCCCTAAACGCGGGTTATATAACAACTCTTCTAGACCCTAGTGTAGTAAAGACAAGTATAACGAACTTTCGAACTATAAAAAACGAAACGAAACAGGATCTGTGTTTTAATCAGATTGCGTTCATCTATATTATTTAAAGGGGCATTATGTAAGATTTAGATAAAGTGTTGAAAGTTCTATAATAGTTCTGTTATAGTTATGTTATAGTATCAGTCTGATTAAAACACGGTTCCTACTTCGTTTCGTTTTTTATAGTTCAAAATTACGTTTTACTTGTCTTTACTACACTAGGATCTGGAAGAGTTGTTATCTTTGACGTGTTTTGGATGGTGTGAGGTATTAGCCAATGAAATGGCCTGTTACGGCGAGCTTTAGGTGTGTTTTGCACGGAAAAGTGGGTAATCCACTAGTAACATCAATGCTGATTGATTAATCAATTGTCTGACATCATAGGTCAAAAGTAGGTCGTATGACCTCTGACGCGACGTATCGCTACAACCTGTCAGATCTTCATGTAGTGTAGGCCATCGAAAGTATAAAAACGAAACGAAATATAGATCTTTATTTTAATCAGATTGTTTTAGAATAGAGATAATATGTTCCTATGTTTAGTCATATACGTATACATGTCTTATCACACCTCCTCGAATAGCCTTTTCCTACAGAGTGAAATACTATGCATACTGTGAGTCGCTGGCTACATGTGGAAAGCCCAGACGCATAGAAACTCCCCCACCCCCACAGCCGACGTGTAACGCACACTCTCTTCTGCTACATATTTTAATAGCCTTGTAATCGTCAAGTATTTGTAATTCTCTTCATTTGACTAGGACTCAGGTTGTGTATATTCGTCTTACTATCTTAGAAATGAAGACGTCTGTCTTAACGGGAATGACAATGCATCAGTTTGCTTCTACATTTTATATCAAGCTGGATACATGTTATAGGCACAATACAATACAATGCATAGTTTACAATACAATACTTAAAATTAACTTGTCTTTCTCTCCTACCCCTAACTCGCAGATGAGTTTACTGATGGCTACATCATATGGCTCTTCTACAAATCAATGGGGTCGACTCATGCCAGCTGGTGTCTCTTGAACCTCGGCGGTCTCACCAGAATTTAACTGTCCAAGGCTAAGAAATGTTCATGATGTTTCAAATCTATAGGACCTAAATCAGTCTTATAACAGTTCTGTCAATTATTTACTTAGATAAATATTACGTAATTAATTATGATGATTGGTTAGTAAGTCAAATGATGCAATATGAATTTTCCAACACAAGTGATAAACATGATATTCTTGGTTCATCTAAAATCATCTTCTTTTTTTTTGGTTTTATAAATCTTTTTATGTGCCAACCACTCAATCATTTTAATTTGAGC